GCCCAAACCTTCTGCGGACTCACCTGCAACTTAGGGTTTTTTGGGGTTTGGGGTTTAGGGTTTAGGGTTTAGGGTTTAGGGGTTTAGGGGTTTAGGGGTTTAGGGTTTAGGGTTTAGGGATGGGGTTTAGAAAGTCGGATTTAGGGTTTCGGGTTGAGGGTAGCTGTTAGCCTACGTTATGGCGTAGGGACTCGGGAGTTATAGGGCCTGCTGGGCTTTCGTAAACTAGGGTCCCGTTTTTTACGTCCTCAAAATAGTACGGCACCCTTATAAAAAGGACCCTAAAAGGGACCCTAATTTAGAGAGCCACCCACATAGTGTCTCGGAGTTGCAGGTTCGGAGATAGGGGTCCACAGGCCACAGGGCTTGAGGTTTACGTGGCGCTGGAGCATTTAAAAATTCAAGGTCTGTGGCTGTAGGGCTTTACTGCTTGGGGGCTTGAGCTTTAGGAGTTGAGGCTTGGGGCTTTGGTAGGAAAGCTGTCACGAAATCGTAGCACAAACTCTCTGGAAGGCAGCATCCTCATAAGGGGCTCATATTCATGGTTTGTGTTCATGTGGCTTATCCGATCCTGAATTTAGGTAACTTGAGTCTCGAGAACGCAACAATCTCGACCTCAACTCTCGAACTCAACGCTGCGACACGCAGAGTGACAAGACCCCATCTAACCCTAAACCCTAAACCCTAAACCTACAAGTTTCGGGGTTCAGGATCTCTGAACCCTTTGCACACCAAGCCGGTCTTCAAGGCGGCTTGAGGTTAGGGGGACGCTCTCCCTTTAGCCTTGAAACTGCCTGGAGTCAGTCTTATCCTTCAGTGTGACACGCTGTACTCTGACACCTGTATTCTGTCAATTAGTCTGCTTCGAAAGTTGCACTCTCCAACTTCAATCTTGCATCACCGTGCTCCATCTTTACGCTGATAAAACTCCTGTTGTTCTGGAGGGTCGGGGGACTTATTTTTCTAGAATCATTAGGATCCCGCTCAGGGCACTCATGTAGCTCTACATACTACCGACTCTCCGACTCTCCAAGTCCTGCATTACCCATAATAAGGAATATACCATAATTCCCATAGCTTAGGGTCCTTAAGATAATGCTATGGACTTATAGCATCCACAGTACCAACACCCCCCAAATGTTGCCGCCGCCTTCCTTGGTCGACTCGTTCAGGGCGAGGGCGCGGAGGATGTCCGAGCCACTTCGGCTGGTCTGGTCGCACTTCGAGAAGACGCCGACTGTCCGGTCCTGCAGGCCCCTAAAGCCTAGGGTGTAGGGTATTGGGGTTTAGGGTATTAGGGTTTAGGGTATTAGGGTGTAGGGTATTAGGGTGTAGGGTTTAGGGTTAATGTAGAAACCTGGTTAAGAAGCCCTGGCCCTATAACCCCCAAAAAAGATCAGGATTCATATCAAGAACCCCAACAAAGACCCAAGGTTTCCTATGCAGGCTCCTATTTTAAGCCCTTAAGCTCGAGGTGGTAAGAACCCAGGGCCCAGGGCAAGAAGAGCCCCTCCCGGGAGAGGCAGGGCGACTCTCGGTGCTGATAGCTCTGGACGGCTTCAGTGTCCCTCAACCCCCAACACTAAAGCCTGAACTTAGGCCCTAATACCCTAAAGCCCTAAACCCTAAAACCCCTAAAACCCTAAAGCCCTAAACCCTGGAACCCTAAACCCTAAAGGCCCTAAAATAACGAGAGATTTGGTCGACCGGCAAACGACCGGCAGCATCATCATCTCCTATTTTTGTACAGCCTTTGTAGCCTGTTGGACCCCAAAAAAACAAAATCTACCTGGCATCTTACACTGCAAGACAATATGGAAGGTTGCGACTGCGAGTCTGTTGAACATACAGTCGATCTTGGGAGGCGAGGATCGGGGCTTCGCTTCCTGCATCCTATGGCTTGGGGTTGAGGAGATCGGATTCTGTCCTGGAGCTGGTTCTCCATGATGAACTTCATCGCCTTAGTGACTGTCAAAAGGCGGCGGCACCTCCGCTGCTGAGGCCTATACACTAGGCCCTACACCGTGCGACACGCCCAGAAGAACCGACGAGGCACACAGCAAAGGCCAAGGCCACCTTTACTCCCACAACCCGACATTCCCAAACGGAGACTTGACTCTAAACCCCTGAATCCTGACCCAAAAGCCATAGAGCCCTCAAGCACCATACCCTAAACTGCACATCTCAAACCAGAAAGCCCGAACACCCTAAACCCCGCAACCTCCACAAAGCCTAAGAAGCTACACGCCACAGACGCGTTGCGTTGTTCGTGTTGGGCTTCACGTCTCCGGAGGCCGGGACGACCGCGAGGAACCTTGGCTGAGTGGCATGCAACCAAGGGCTCGGGTCTCGGGGTTTAAGGTTTAGTCTTTGGGTGGACTGCTGTGGGGTTCCAGAAGGCTGGGATTATGAGTTTTTGGGAAAAGGGTGGGTGTCATGTAGCCGAAGCATACAAGGATAGCAAAGGACTGGCGACACGAAGTCTAGGTGTCGAGTCTCCTGCATCAGCGTCGCTGGGCTTGGTTTGTCTTTGGATTATCTGCCTTGGCTCAGGAATTCGGGCTGCCCATTCGCCTTTTCGAGGACTCGACGCAGACGATTGCACTACCCTAACCTACCAAAACCTACTTTATAAATCCTCTATTAGGGCTTATAATAAGAACCTACAAAAAGTCGGGTTTACAATAAGAACCTAGGAAAAAGTCGGTTATGGTAGCTTCTGGTAGGGTTCAAGGCATCAGAAAACCGAAGAGCCGGAATCCGTGTCGCATTGTGTGCAGTGCAGCGTCAAGCCCAAATCCAATACCGATAGAACTACTGTTGATGATATAAATCCTGCATGACCTTAAGGACCCTAAACTATGGGAATTATGGTATATTCCTTATTATGGGTAATGCAGGATTTAGATCATCAACCGTAGGGCCCCTGAACCTGACATCGTAAGCTGCGCAAGTCTAAGCGCAGAATCGAAACAAAGACTGAAGCCTCGTGGGGAGACATGAACATGCTGCACCGGAACCATATCCGAAGTCTCACAACCGCCGAACATCCAATACCAAGGGTTGAAAGGCCTTTGGCTGTGCGTTTTGAAGCTTGAGCAAGATGAAACGAGTCTAAGGCGCAAAGACTACAATGACTAGAACGGGAGAGTAGAGTCTTGTTGTGCCACAGGGCATGTTGTTGTTGCCCGTTTTCTCATCGTCGCGAATCTGCTTCTTCATAATCTGCTGCACAGCCTTCACAGGCCCCAGACCGTGCAATCCTTAACACTACAGTCAGGCCCGAGCCGAGACAACGACCCAACACTCCAAACGGCTTTGACAAAGGTGCGGGCTTAGGGTCCAGGGAATCCCCTGGACGGTTTGGACAGTTTGGACTTCAAGGTTCCTGACACAGGGTGCTCAGTGATCCTTCCCACTGTTGCCTTCGGTGCAACTGGGAGAGGGGGGCTCTGTCTGCAGACCCACGTACTGTACTGCGAAGCATGACGGCCTGGCGTAAACAGCAAAGCTTCCAACCTTACAGCCGGTTCAGCTGAAGCTCGACAACCCATTTCCAAACCTCAGTAGCCGGACGATCCTAAACGCGCTGTCTAACCCTGAAACCAAGAACACTACTGGTCGAGACCCACCAAAACAAAACCATCAGAAATCCCGATGGTCTTTACTGTAGTTCCTTGTTTTGCTTAATCAATCTTAGAGGTAACCCAAAACTGCAACGGAGACTATACGTAGAACCCCAAACCCGACACCCCAAGCCCTAAACCCTAAACCCCCAAAACCCCAAGCCGAAAACCCCCTAGACTCCTAAACCCCTACAGTAAATCCTAAACCCCGAAACGCCGAAACCCCGAAACCCCTAAACCCCTAAACCCCTCAACCCCTCAACCCCTCAACCCCTAAACCCTAAACCCCTAAACCCCTAAACCCTTATAAACCCCAAACCCCAAGCCCGACCTCTGCTTTCTCTGTCGGCCAGGAGGTGATCCCCGGCAGGTCCACCAAGTCGATGCTCGGGACTTCGGGGCCCTGGACCTGGGCAACGAGTCTCAGGGACTTGATCGTTAGAGTGGGCGTTGAGGGTTTAGGGGTTTAGGGGTTTAGGGTTGTGGGGTTTGGGGTTTTGGGTTCAGGGTCTAGGGTTCAGGGTTTTGGGTTCAGGGTTTAGGGTTTTGGGTTTAGGCTAGGGTATGAGATGATATAATTACAAAAAGGATCATAAAGGAAAAGAACTACTAGGGCTCATAATTGCTGCTCTTGCGCCGGCTAGTGGTACTATCTGTCTGAGCCTTTCGGTGCCGAGGGGACTGACTATCGAAGCTTAGATGACGCATGCTTCATGCTGTCAGTGTCGTTATTTTTCTCTCTCTCGCTCTCGCTCTCGCTCTCGCTCTCGCTCTCGCTCTCGCTCTCGCTCTCGCTCTCTCTCTCTCTCTCTCTCTCTCTTGACTGTTACTGAAACACTCAACATGTGGAGCCTAGTCATAAATACCACCAACATTGACAGTAGCGATGGAAACACACTCTAGTAACAGACACACGTTTCGAGTTTCGATTCGGGGGGCCCCCGCCTAATGTTAGGGGAAACGATGGATATTGTAATTACTATCAGCTCCTCGATCATGGATCTGTATTCACGATATTCACTCATCTAAACATGCGCCAAGGCTTCAAATCAGGAGTTTAGGGTCTCGGTGGCTGGACTGCTCACTGCATGTCAGTTCTTGGCTCTCGAATGGTTTCGAGACTCTTCGGGGAGCTTCGGACTTTCGGAGGGGAATGTAAGGCCTTAGGGTACTCTTCGCGAAGATTTGGTTGAGAAGCGCTGACCCCCGAAAACCCTACAAGGCCTGGAGAACTTCCCAAGGCCCTGAAACCACTGCGTGGTCCCACTGGGCCCCGGCTTCGATGACGATGATCTTCCTTGTGACGATGCCGCCGGACCCTGCACCTGTCCAACTGCGATTTTGGCTATCGCAGACAACCCTAAACCCTAAACCCCTAGGGAGGAGGAACCAACGCCCAAAGAAGCAAACCAAGCCTTCTTGACCCTTCGACAGCTCCGAGACGAGGTGGTCCATCTTCTCCTGCACAAAGAGATGGCCGTTCTCCTGCAGAGGCTGAAATCCCCGACCCACTTCGTAGCTATGAAAAGCAGATACCCAGGGTTGGAGAGGATGACCCACCCTTCTTGCGAGTAAGCAAGCACCAGGTGCATTTAGGGCACCTGTCCCCAATGCAGCGTTGTTCAAGAGTTAAAGAGCCCCGGCCAGTGGTATGCGTTCAAATCGGGATTCAAGCAGCACCACTCAGCACAAAGACCAAATGCCGAAGAAGCCCTGAAAAGAAAGCCCTACATCCAAGCCCGACAAGATGTGATACTTCTTGTGGTCAATACTACTCCACCCTAAACCCTAAAACCCTAAACCCTTAAACCCTAAGCCTAAACCCTTAAACCCCAACCCCTTAAACCCTAAAGTATTAATCGCCTATGGCAGCTGAACCCGTTTCTCCTTAGGCACCACCATGGCTTCCCCCTCCAGTTGGTCACCCCCAGGTGTAACCTCGAGTTCAGTCTGAAGGATTCAGGTTTTAGGGCTCCGGGGAGAAAAAGCTTTCGGTGAAATATATAATATATAATACATAATATATAATATATCATATATAAGGGAGTGGACAGGATATCCGGGGCCTTGAGGTCTGGTTAAAAATTCTCGAGAGCTCGGCCTCTGCCTGGCTGAAACATGGTCGAGCATGGCTCACCGATCAGTCCGTGCGCTCCGCTTGGCTTTCTCACTGGCAGAGCACGGCCCGAAGCGTGCGCAAGAGCCACCAGAGCGCGAAGACTTCCGAAGGAATGTTCCTGGGCCGGGTGGCCGTGCAGACAGACAAAGTGGTCCGGCAGACGTCCGGATTCCGGCGCAGGCGAAGGTGTGTGGCCAGGCGTGTGCAGAAGCGTCGCCTCAGGGACTGGGGATGTGTTGAGGCACCTGTCAACCCTTCTTGACTCGTTTAGGTACCATGGGTTCACTGCTGCCGTCCTAATGAAGCTGATGATGATGATGATGATGATGAGGACAGTGATGTTGGTGGTGGCGGCGGCGGCGGTGGTGGTGGTGGTGGGGGCAGCGGCGGCGGCGGCGGTGGTGGTGAGGATGATGATGGCAATATACGGCAATGAGGCCGCAAGTAGTAACAGTTGAGATGATGACGATGGTAATGATCTGCTAGTGCTCGTGACATGGTGACTGCAGAGAAGAGCTGACTGTGCGAAGAGAACACCCTCAATGTGCAAAGGCACGAGTTGACAACCCAGAAACCCTCAACCCCGAGAGCTGTGGTCCGTGTGGCTTCCGTGGGAAGATCGGAAGCATTGCCAACATTTCCAGAATGGTACTCTTGCCCGCACTCTCGTCGCCAACCACGATCCTAGGCGTTTCCGGTTGCGGGAGTGGAAGCTGGTTTAGGGTTTAGGGTTTAGGGTTTAGGGTTTAGGGTTTAGGGTTTAGGGTAGTGTTTCATTCCAAGGCGGCTGTTGGCGGAGGAAAAGTCTGGCCACTGCGACTGCATTGGCTTCAAGGTGGCATATGCCAAGTACGATGACTGCTTTCTGAGTGGTTGTGGTGTTTAGCATACTTGGAAGCCTACGCTGGGGCTTTAGGATGCTAATTAGGGCCTTACGGATATGTCGTCTGCAGGTTGTGCTTGAGGATGCTCCTATCTTTCCCTGCAAGGTGCATTCGTTGTGGTGTCCATCCATCCAGAACTTCGAGGAGAAGCCCCCGCAGCGGATCCAACACCTGCCGGTGACCGGTCTTCGGGAAAGCATGATTCAACAATCTTCGTAGGATGCTTCGGCGTCAAGTTGGAAGACGCCCGTCATAGCGATCTTGGTAGGTAGCGAAGAGCTTCTAGCCCACTTACCGAGTTGACGTATCCTGGGCTCATGGGTGCCAGGGGCTTAGGTCAAAACCTAGATCCTACACGCTCTACACTGTAGACAGCCTCCTCGAGATTGAAGCTCCAGATTTTAAATACCCTAAAGGTTAGCGATCTTGATTATGACCGTACCATACCTTTCCATCACCTAGTTGCCCAGTCCCTTTTGAAGAACCTGTGCTCCACTCCTTCAACTCTTGCGGCCAATATCGTGCACGAAGCTCCACAGGCGTAGCCTACAAAGTCCCGACACAGTTCGTGAGCTAAAATCATTATTAAAGCCTTCATTGGGTTTAGGGTTCAGGGCCTACTCGAAATTACGAGCCCTTGCATGGACTATTGCAGATTCCCCCGTCGACGCTCTTTCTTTTGCAGCCAAGGGGCTCGGAAAATCTTGCTCAGGGTGTAGGACATGTCCTCCATCGCCAAAACCCTGAACCCCTGGGATCCGAAAAGCCCCAAACCCTAAAAGGAGCCAGTTGAGGGTTTAGGGCTTAGGGTTTAGGGCTTATAGGGCTTAGGGTTTAGGGTTTAGGGTTTAGGGCTTATTTGGCTTAGGGTTTAGGGTTCAGCAGCTCAGCAGGGAACCCTAGCCTAGCAGCTTTGAAAGGGAACAGAAAAGTCGGAGTTCCTGACTTCATATGATGTCTGGCATTGATAACTGATAGCAAGCCATGCCCACAACCCAGAAGCCCAACACACAATTCAGCCGAGCTGGCGCTTCAAGCTTCCCTAAACCCTAAGCCCTAAGCCCTGAGCCCTAAACCCTAAACCCTAAGCCCTAAACCCTAAGCCCTAAACCCTAAACCCTAAGCCCTGAGCCCCAAGCCCTAAGCCCTAAACCCTAAGCCCTAAACCCTAAACCCGAAGCCCCAAGCCCTAAACCCCAAACCCTAAACCCGAAGCCCTGAGCCCCAAGCCCCAAGCCCTAAACCCTTGGAGTTTCGACAGCAAGGCCCTTGGAGGCGGAGGCATCAGGACTTACCCCCCCGGCCTTCGGGGCTCAAGGAGACGGATACCTCCCCAGAGAACCCAATACCCCTTAATTAAGGAATATACCTTAAATCATAATGTTAAGGCCCCTATCATTTAAGCTATATTCCTTAATTAAGGGGTATTGGGTTCTCTGGGTCTAAGAAGGGCTGCCGCGACCTGCATGGCAATCCCGACGGCAATTCCAAGAAGCAGGACCTCCTGCAGAACCTCCCAAAAGCAAGCTGACCCTGATGGCAAGCTCCGAAGCTTCGAATGAGGCTACAGCAATGTGCACCCTACCTTAAGGACGAAATGAACCCTAAAAGGGTTTAAGGTTCATATACCATCTAGGGATTCATAGTATAAGGGTATAGGGCCCCTACATTTAAGGGTCATTTCGTCCTTAAGGTAGGGCTCAGATATTACCCGAAAAGTCCCAAACTCGCAGGGCGCCTGGGCCTGCGTGGCCCGTGCAAGGCCCATCGCCGGACTGGTCGGCGTCAGCACCTGTGTACCCAGAGAACCCAATACCCCTTAATTAAGGAATATACCTTAACTCATAATATTAAGGCCCCTATAAGGCCCCTATAATTTAGGGCATATTCCTTAGTTCAGGGGTATTGGGTTCTCTGTGTAGCACAAGCAGATTTGGAGGCTCATGAACCGACGTAAAAATCAGCGCCGCTGTCACCGCCGGAGCGCCGTCGTCACCATCGTCAGCTCTGTCACAATCACCACCAAGAACAACAACGTCATCGGCACCATCATCATCATCATCATCACCATCATCATCGTTACCATCGTCATCGTCATCTGTCCCGGTAGTTACGGATGCTCCTTCGGTCCTTCAGGACATGCACTACCGGGACCTGCCATTCCCCCGACATTCAACCTGAAACCCGCAAGCCTTCAAGAAATATTCTTTGCCCTCTAGTGGATCGCGATCCGACTAACAGAATTGCGCGTCCACAGCCTCCCAATCTGAAGAATCCGATGTCTCCGCCGGGGGAGAAATCACCTTCAGATGCTTTAGGGTTTAGGGATTTAGGGTTTAGGGTTTAGGGTGCTGGTGATTGCAGCTACGAAAGGGCAAGAATGGGAATGAGCTGTGAGGCTTGACGGCTGCCAATTGTTTGAAGAACAGCAGACTTCGGGCTAGGGCTCAGGACCAAGCAACTGGGACTGGAGAGCTCTGGAGCAACAAGGTGAGCAGATCACGGGGCCAAATTAAGTCTTGGGGTATACTGTGCTCGAGGAACCGAAAAAAAAAGAATGGTGGAAGTAGTAGTGGTGGTTTTCCGGGCCTCTAGAGAAAGGGTCTGCGCCTTCGTGGGAAAGTACCAGGCAATTGAGCTTCCAGGATTTCATAAACTTTCATCGGTACGGCTTTGCAGTCGGGGCGGCGGGCCGTGAGACGGGCACCTGCAGCGTTCAGGGTGGAAGCGATTGCGCTTCCTGCACCTCTGGGATTCCGGATTCTAGGCCGCAGTCAAGCCTAACTTGCTGGCGAAGGGCTGCGGAGGAAACGATCAACAAGAGACCGCACAGCAAGGGTTCAGGCCAAGAAGGTGCTCGTTTCTCCTTCTAAATGCCTGAATCCAAAAAACTCACACCAAAACCTAAACTGTGGACGGCCCTAAACCCTAAACCCCACACCCATCCCATCCAGGCAGTCACGTGGCCAGTGTGCGCTGCAGTGGGGTTGGACCCGCGGCATTCCATGTAATCGTTAGCTCCTGCATCAGTGCCCGGATCGCTCGAACCCTCGCGTGTTTGGCCCCGAACATCAAATAGGCTCAGTTTAGTGTTTAGGGTTTAGGGTTGAGGCTTTGGGTCCAGGAAGTGATTTGTCTTGTGCAAGTCCGCGACCTTCGCGCAGGTTTCTTGTGATTGTATCAAACTAAGCCCGAAAGCTTCCACGGAGCGGTCAGCCTATCTGGTGATCACGGCTTATGGTTTAAGGCATTAGGGAACAGCAAACACCAAATTGCTAGCCATGCTATGCCATGCATTGCATTGATGAACCCTGCCACGTTTCAAAAATGGACAGCCTGTCCGTCTTCAAACCTCAATCTGTAGTAGGATTCAGCAGCTGGAACTGTTTCAGGGCTGCAGGCACCATAACTCTGACGCCCAACATCGTAACTAGGCTGAGGGTTGCGTGCTGCGGGTCCCTCACACAGTACATGGGAGTTAAGGTTAAAGTTCTCAGCAGGTCTCCTCAGATGGCGGGGTCTCCAAAGCTGCCATCAGCTCGCCGATGGCCTGTTGAATCACTAAGCCCTGAGCCAGAAACGGAAAACCGCAGCCTAGACCCTCTGGCTTGGGTTTAGGTTCTTTTTCAACTTTGGGCTTAGCGTTTCCGGTTTGAGTTTTCAGGGTAATCCCCCCCCCACACCTTGACACAGGCAGACCGAAGCATCGAGCTGCATCACGTCTGGTATTCTATATTCCTGCTGTGATTCTAAGATTACTATTACTTTTGCTGTTAGTCTCATTGCTGTTACAGTTGTGATGACTCTGACTATGAATATTACAGAGTATCATTGTTGTTGTCCTTATCATGATTCTGAGCTTCTTAATGTTACACCAACGTCTGTAAAGCTTCCAACGTTCATGCGAGCGCCTTGGCAATCCAACCCAACGCCAGAAACCCTCAGTTCAGGGTGCAGTGTTCAACCTTGTCTCCTTTGCTGAGAACGCGGAGCCATCTGCGATGTCCCACAACTTTCTTAACCCGACTTCTGGATTTGGGGCTTAGACCTTTGGTTAAGGCTTGTAAAGGTAATTTAGGCTTTTGGCATGATTAGGGTTCGGGGTTTAGGGTTTGGTTTTGGGGAGTAGGCCTGTGTTGCGCTGAAGCCAGAAAGGCTTACCCTAAACCCTAAACCTCTAAACCCCCTAAACCCTTCAGGCTTGGATAGGCCGGAGGAAGCAAACCCTTCCGCCTCGAACCCCGAGACCCCAAAACTCCCTTAATTAAGGAATAGACCTTAAATTAAATCATAGTAGGAACCCGAATAAGATTTAAGGTCTATTCCTTAATTA